TTATTCTTCCGGCTGTGTGACAGTAGCTTGAAAAGCACAATATTTATTTGTCTTCACAGATGATCACTTAAACTCATCTCACATTTATATTAATTCTTTAGATACTTTTCCTGTAGCACAAAAAATGCCTTAAAGATAGAAATTATAAACCAGATACCCATGGCTTATGCATGTAATCCTAACTAATGAGAGGCTGAGATTTGAGGATTACTATACAAAGCTAGCTGTGGCAGGAAAACCTATGAGAGTCTTTTTTTTTGGGGGTGGGGTCCGGTCGTGGGGCCTGAACTCTGGGCCTGGGCACTGTCCCTCAGCTCTTCAGCTCAAAGCTAGCACACTACCACTTGAGCCCTAGCACCACTTCTGATTTTTTTTTTTTTCCTGCTTGTGTGGTGCTGAGGAATCGAACCCAAGGCCTCATGCACGCAAGGCAAGCGCTCTACCACTAAGCCAACTTCTCAGCCCCCAACCTATGAGATTCTTATCTCCATTTAACCAGTGGAGCTGGAAGTGGAGCTGTGGCTCAAGCGGTAAAGTGTTAGCCTTGAGCAAAAAAGCTCTGAGTTCAAGCTCCAGGATGGGAGCACGCGTGTGCGTGTGCAGAGAGAGAGAGAGAGAGAGACAGACAGACAGACAGACAGAGAGAAATTGCATTGTTTTTAAAATTTTTTATTGTTATTTTTTTGTTGGTCATGGGGCTTGAACTCAGAGCCTGGGCACTGCCCCTGAGCTTTTCATTTAAGGCTAGCACTCTATCACTTTGAGCCACAGCTCTACTTCTGGTTTTCTGAGGGTTAATTGGAGATAAGTCTCATAAACTTTCCTGTCCAGGCTGGCTTTGAACCATGATCCTCAGATTTCAGCCTTTTGTATAATTAGGATTACAGGCGTGAGCGACTGGTGCCCAGCCTACATCACATCTATGTTGGAAGTTGGTTAAACTATCGTCCTTCAAATTAAAATTAAAATCAAAATAATAATAATCTGACTCATGGTTAAATGTAATGGCTAGAAACCCTGCCCCTATATAATTGATTTCTAGTCTCTCTTTAGTTTAGAGGGTTGCTTTGTTCTTTGAGAGGGTTTTGCTTTTGTGTCTTTCTTTATGAAGAAATAAAGTAATGGGTCCAGAATTAATTTCATTTAATGGGAAAACAAAGGCCATAAAGCCTACATTCTCATAGTACCAGTCTATACCTGTTGTGAAAGCAGCTCATTTCCATTTGGCTGGTAGACTGTGCATTCTCATTTTACTGTAATTTAAGAGAGACACAGTTTGTGGTCACTTTTGCATCATGAAAGTGAATGTTCCTCTGTTTATGATGTGTTGGCCTTTGCCATCTTCCATGTGTTCTGATCTTGAAGAAGCTGTCGTTGTAAGATACATGGCTTTTGAAGACTAGAAAAAATAGAGAGACCCACAATAGTTACTCAAGGAAACTAAATATATCATTTTTGACTGAGGATATTTAAAAGGTACATAAGTAAAATATGACAATATTACTATATTCTTGAAATTCTGTACAAGCATGTTTGGTTTGTTTACCCTTTAGAAAAGGAGATATGTGAAGTAGCCCGAACAGAGCTTGATGCCCTCCAGCAGCAGTTCAGGGAGAACTCAGAGGAAGAAAATTATCAACAAAGCAGTCTAGGCCCGCTTGCCCTTCCTCCCCCCCCCCCCCCCCCACTAGTGGCCACCACCAGGGACGTTTTTGGAGTTTGCCATAACCCAAGCTACCCTCCTACAAGCCACTGCCCAGTGGGGGGATCTGGTTTGTTTCATGCAAACCAATCACCATCTGACAAATTTCCAAGAGGGAGGGGGAAAAAGTAGGGAGAGACAATGCAGAACAGTTCCATATCACACACTGGACAATCGGCTTCCAGGTTCCAATGCTCACTCTCCTGAATGGCCTTTACTTTCTCTTTCCTAAGTAAAGTCTTTGCAGTTGTAAAACAAGAAAAGAGATTTCTGGGTTGGGTGGGGTTTAATGAATGTTCTAATAGTTACACTGAGTTGCAGGTGCCTTAATTGATCATCAGAAATGGTTTAAGTAGAATGACACTGTCCTTCCCACCATCTTGATTGTATCCAACTGATTTTAAATGATTGTATATTGTGTTCTATTAGTCAGGAAGTTCCTGTGTTGTTTTTCTAAGAGTTAATTTCTTTTTTAAAGTTAAATTTTGAATGGAAACTTAGTACCTCATCTACACTGTAAAGAGCGTGATGGCGGTTCTGTCCTCTATATGTCTATGGATTAACTTCCTCTAGGCAAAACCATCTATTTATGCTATTGCCTTGTAAAATCAGCTAGCTTAAAAGTAAAACTCAGGATTATTTTTGGCATTTTTGAAGATAGTTTAGCTGAAATAAACTTCCTTTGTCTGTTTTTTTAAACCTTGGCTTTAATTTTTTCTTTTTTTATGTAGTGGCATTAATTGCTATGGTTTCATGAACAATTACTTTTTATTTTTTTTTGAGAAAGAAGAAAAAGGTTCTGTGACTCATCAAAGTTTCTATAGGTTAGTGACAGCTTATTAGTCATAAATTGTAGTTTATGGCTACAAGTCTCCCTATCCATTTTTGTAGACAGTGATGTCTAGTGTCTTTGGTGATGTGTGCATGCCATAAGTGACAGATGAGGAAAACATATACGACTAGATTTAAGTAGTTTTTTCAAATAGTAAGAATAGAATGATCGCTAGTTTATCTCAGTAGCACTGTTCTCTTTCTCTCATTTTGAAAGAATATTTCCAATTGAAAATGCGGATTGTATATATTTTATATGTGTAATATATTTTTGGCATCCTTTTCTTTTAAAAAGATTTCTTCTAAAATATGCACACAGACATATTTAGAGGTGAAATTTTTATGATTTTTAGGCTTGCTTCAAAGTAATGCAGGGGGCAAAAGTGTCAGTGTGGCTAAAGTGGTAGAGTGCCAGCCGTGAGCAGAAAAACCCAACAAGGGTTCCAAGCCCTGAATTTAAGCGCTGGTAGTGGCAAAAAAAATAAAAGGGATGTAGGGAGAGAGGGAAAAATAGAAGGGAGAAGGAGAGAAAAGGAGAGAGGGAGGATTTTGGCTTGATAATTGCTAACACTGATGAGTACAGAAGAATCCACTATTAGTCTACCTATTTGGATATATTTATTTTTTGGTAATAATGTAAATTTTATAACATTGTTATTAGATAATTTTACTGTAAATTTATAAATCCCCATAAAAGTCAACATTACTTAAGGGGTTAAGCTCAGGATCATCTCTTCTATAATCAAGAGTCGCGTGCAGAATTCCCTGTTTCAACTAATTCCTCATCAACTTAAATGACAATCTTCCATATCAGTTATTGATTGTGTAAATTCTGTTTTATAATTTGATTGTATGAGTTCCATCTCCAGTCTCATCTCAGTCCCTCACAGTCTACCTTTTGGTAGTATTAAATGTTTATAGAACAGAGCTGCGTACTCATGGTTCACGCCTACAATCCTAGCTATTGAGGATTGCAGTTTGAAGTCAGCCCAGGCAGGAAAATCTCTGAGACTCTTATCTCCAATTAACTAGCAAAAAGCTGGAAGTAGAGCTATGATTCAAGTGGCAGGTACTACTAGCCTTGAGCAAAAAAGCTCAAGGACAACACCCAGGCCCTGATTTCAAGCGCCAGGACTACACACACAAAAAGCTATAGAACAAATGAACAAAGTCTAATGTACATTTATCACAGCTTATTGTATATTATTTTGTAGTTCCCTTTTATTTCTTTATCCCCTCACTAGATTTTAAGCTTTATGTAAGTGGAAAATGAATCCACTTTACCACTGTGTCCTCAGCAACTAGTGGGTGTCTGCCTTCAATAAATATTTATAAAATTGATGTGTCAACAATATATCTTCTTAAGAGAGCTTTCACGATTTCTGGGTCCACGATGAATAACCATACTACATGTTGTTTCTGGAAGGATTGTTCTAAACCATGATTGTGATCATATTCTGCCCATCCCATAGCTTTCCGCATTTCAGTGACAAAATTTATACAGTAAACCCATGGCCCTTCATGGGATGAGTCCTGTCAATTGCTCTTGTCCCTCTTCATCTGTATGCTTCACTTTTCCACAGACAACGTGAACTACTTATATACTTCATTCCTTCTTTTTACTGAACATTTCCTCTTTGGGAACTCCATTCTCATTTACATTTTCAAAATGGCACCCCTGAAGGTTACCTTCTGTTAGCTGGGGAGGCTGGGGTGACCACTGCCCTGAACATAGAGGCTAGGAATAGAGCAACAAATGTCACAATATTTCTGCTCTCCACACACTCCTAACTGTGGACAACCATTCTTATCATTTTCCTCCTCACTGACAATGAATGTTCCCTAAAGCAGGAATTACTTTTTATTTCTCTTAACATCCTTGCTTTATCTGGCCAATAGAGGAATGCTGTAAATATTTGTGCAGTGAGCAAATTAAGGAATGTATTTATTTTGTTAAGCAAGTGAATGAGTTTTCCATAAAGGATGTTAAATCGATGATATATTTACCAGCATACTCAAAGGTTGTTTTTCACATTTGAACCAGGTTATGCCCTATTTGTTTTCACAGTGTAGTCAAGCAGGTCAAAAGACAACCCTGTATCATATAAATCAAAGAATGAAATGCTGAGTTAAGGAAAACCTTTATGTGAACTGGTGGGGGCAGGGGAGCTAAAGGAAAAAAATAATACCTAGATTTTTTGAGAATGTCAAGATTTCATTAGTAATAAAAATAATTCTAAAAACTAATTTTAATGACACCTTTGGTTACTTAGCTTTAGCAAAGAATGTTTTTGACAGATACTTTAAAGCTCTCACATATCTGGGTCATTGACCTTCAGTATAGATTTTGTAAAAGAACCGAAGTAGAAAAATACTAAGATGTTGGAAAATGAGACCTGCTATGTTAACACACACCTTGTAGCTTAACAGGGTCATGAAGCTTGAATCTTTCTGTCCTCCTTTGCAGATATGTCTTCTCCAACAACTATGAAGAAGCCTGAAAAGCCATTGTTCAGCTCTACATCTCCCCAGGATTCTTCCCCAAGGTTGAGCACTTTCCCCCAGCACCACCATCCCGGAATACCTGGAGTCGCACACAGTGGTGAGGATTTTCAGGCATAGAAGAGAGAAGTCTTCTTTTGTCTTCAGGTTCCAAAGCCTGAGGACAGAGCAAAAGTTGGCCATTCTATCCATAATGACCTTATTCTCTCAACACAGGTTACAATCGCCTTAGAATATTTTTTTTCTTATCGATTTGTGAGAAGATATTCCCAATTTTACATAGTTGAATATTTACCCAGGCCTTTTTTATAAGAAAGATGATCATCATAAGAGCTTTAGAAAATAGAGTATATAATTACCTTAACTGTAGCGTTAGGATTCCCAATTCTGTGTATTCTGCTAAAAGAAAACCAGATATTTCAAGTATGTTTTGAAGTTTTTCCAAAGGTATTTATCTAGGTAGCTATTATTTCTACAGATGATGTTTTCTGCACAAATCAATACTCTTGAGGGTGTGAAATTAATCAGAAAACAAAAGAAGCTCTTAAAAAATCTTCAGTTGTACAAAGATGTTGCTGTTCATCAAAGCAGTTTATAAACATAATGCATCTTGCTCAATGTCATCCCTTTCATCATTCTCCCCTATCCTTCCTGACCCCACCCTTTTCTCAATGTTTTTAATTTTGCAGGCTATATATTTTTATGTGGGAAGTCTTTCATACATGCAAATCTTTTAGTACACTAGATGTTATATCTAATATCTTAATTTAAGCAATAGAAGTGTACAGTATTTCATGTTAGTATTTTAACTAACGATAAATCTTTCAGAAATTAAAAATATTATATCTAACTTGTAAATAACACTATATACATTTTACCCATTACTTTAAGTCCTAGAAAGTGATAAATTAAAAGTTTCATACACACACATATATACGTATAACTGAAAGATTTATATGTAAATATATTTATAGCAATATTATTAGTGCTTTTAACCTATAGTTAGGTAATCCTTATTTAAATTAATTGACTACTTTAAAAAATCTTTACTTATAAGATATAACATCTGTTGAAATAAAAATCCTTTGATTTAAATCATTTAAAGTTTATATTAATATGTATGACAATGCATGGCCTAAAATTTCATGATATTTTTATATCATGAAATTTGAGAAAACTGGAATAAACCCTCTACCGAAGGTCCTGTTGGCTAAGTATCTAGTGTAGGAGGGGGTACTTTAGGGACCTTGGTCAAGAAAGACAGTTTCTGTCCTTAAAGAGTTTATGTAGTGTAGAGTAAAGGACCACATCATTGGCCAGGCGTCTAATGTGAACAGGATTGTGTAGTTGGAGGAAGCTTAGGTGCTGGGAAGAAATGTGTTTTGAAGGTTTTAAGGATGAGTTCATCACAAGAAGGAACAACAAACCAGGAGGAAGAGTGATTAAGGCAGAGGTAACAACATGTCCAAGTACCTTAGAGGTCACTGCAGCAAGAAGCTGCCATGTAGCCAAGACTTCATTCATTTTAATATGGCCAGAGTTGAGGCCAAAGAAGTTATCCACAACTGGGTCATAAAACACAATGGGCATTATGTATTGGGACTTTTACCTGAAGTAGTAGGAAGCTATGTAAGGATATTTAGCAAAAAGCTACCTAATTTTGATTGTGAGCTTTAAACAAAAATCAGTCATAGAGAACTATAAAGGTTATATATTGGAAGGAGCAAGACTGGAGGAAGAAAGACAATTTGGAAGGCTTTGAAATAATGTAGGCAAGAAATGCATATGTTTATATTATGCATACATTCTTTGAAAATGAAGGAAAACATTTTTTACTGTGTTTTGTTTTTCTCTCATCTTTTAAGGGACTAGAATGACTTTTATAGATAAATCCTGTAGCCAATTTTTACTTTCAAATTTGAAATATCATATTCTACCAAATTATACCAGGCCAGCTATAGCCTGTGCAAACACAGTACCATGCTGTATGGAGATATGTATTAAGATCTGAGTATTGTCAGTTCAGTCAGAAAGAGATCTCAGCAAATTATTATTAATAATAATAGTAATACTGGTAATAATAAAATAGAGATCTTTTCCAGAAGTACTCAGGCCAAATTGGTACTGAAACACAGAGGAACCACAATAGAGATTCAGGTGTATCTCATGAACAAAGACAATGATTAACTTTAGCTGAGATTTAGATACTAAATAAAAAGATATGCAGTTACACTTAGATGTTTATATTTCCTTAAGGTGTACTTTCAAGTTGGTATACATATAGAGAGATTCAGGTGTATCTCATGAACAAAGACAATGATTAGCTGAGATTTAGATACTAAATAAAAAGATATGCAGTTACACTTAGATGTTTATATTTCCTTAAGGTGTACTTTCAAGTTGGTATACATGTATAATACTTCCACAAGGACTTTTGTTTTAGGAAGTATACAACTATTCTCTGAAATTCATCTTTTGACAAAAGGTGCTCATATTTCAGTGCAGGGAAGTATTACGTAGGGCACTAGAATGAAATACACATTCTGGCATCTCATCCCTTACCTCACCTCCTCGCCTAGGTTTAGGCTTAGAAAAATCTGCATTGTATTAACAATTCAGAGGACTCTCAGAAACAGTGCCCAGAATATTCAAGGACCAGTTGTGATCATAAAATTATATTTATAATTGTTTTACAATATACATTCTTAATTTTTTGTATTTCCTGCAAGCAAATTATCACTGGAGCTTTTATTTTTTTGCATAATTACAAGACTGAAAAAGTCATTGCAAACAATTTTCATTTATAAGTCGTGAAAAGGATTTGTTTCATATTGTTTGCTAAGGTATCTCATAAAACATTAAGCATTTATTCTTCGTTTATTCGTATTTATTTTTGACTTGGATCAAAAGAGGACACAGAAATAGACACTGGTGATGAATAGCCACCACAGCATTCTTTAGGACTGGAATGAACCATGAAGGCAACTGCTGACAAGTCAATCTTTCCTTTTCTGTGTTCTGCAGTCATCTCAACTCGAACTCCACCTCCACCCTCACCGTTGCCATTTCCAACACAAGCTATCCTTCCTCCAGCCCCATCGAGCTACTTTTCTCACCCAACAATCAGATATCCTCCCCACCTGAATCCTCAGGATACTCTGAAGAACTATGTACCTTCTTATGATCCATCCAGTCCGCAAACCAGCCAGGTAAAAATAAGAGGAAAAAAACTAAGATTAGAGCCTAAGGGAGATGGGACAGGTCTAACCCTAAGACATGAAGGTTAGTCAGACACTATGTCTGGCAGAACATCAAGCCTTGCAATCCATCTTCAGGAAATTCTTGGTGACTCAATAAGTGTGTATGTACAGGTGGATGAATGACAGGTAGGAAGTGTGTTGCCCCAAAGGGTACATTTCTGAAGATGTTTTTGGATTTTTCATTGACAAAAGGGAAAGTTTATGCAGAATATTCATTGCCAAACAAACAAAAAACGTTCTGTGCTGGAGTTGCCACCATTGAAGTACCTGGTTCGACACAGAGTCAAAGTGCTCATTACAGGCAGGAGCATGGTATGTGCTAAAATAAACACACACAGAAGAACTTAGGGTTGTATTTACAGACCAGTTATTAGGTATTGAAAGAAGCTTTGTAATGTAAACATTCTCCATGTTGGATGACACCTTGAATACTCTTTGCAGGGACATGACTTATACTTAATAATGAGTGGCATTACTAGAAGCATCTTTTCTTTCCTGGTAAACATTGTACAGTGGTTTTAGAGATTCATTATATGAGTTTAGTGACTCATGTGCATTTCTTACTTCCTAGATATGTGATTCTTTTAGGGAGAGGTCACTTCAAGTAGGGATATTGTGTAAGAGGTTTTTCTACAATTGAGTAGACAGTCTCCGTGTCAAAAATGTATCTATCAGTTATTATGCTATCTATAGACTGCTTTGTAATTTTGATCTTTTTGTCTAATATTTGGCTTTCCTCTTTTACCTCCAAGACTCCTGTCCACCTCTTCTTATACCCTTTATGCTTTGGGGAATTTTAAGCATTCTATCATTACTTGCTATGAAGTTACTAAAATAGAAGTGAATAATATGTGATATCAATCATACTTAATAAGGAAAAGTGAGAAAGGAAAGTTTTGTCTTGATTTGTATTTTAACAAATTTTAGAAGCAAAATGGTCCTTATTGAAGGTTGTTTTTTTAAATAATGACATATCTAGCCCCCTTTGGATTACTTAGAAAAAAATATCTTCACCTTAGCTCCACTAACTCATATACTAAACTAAGCATTTTGAAGTTAAACTTACTATTTGTATATTAGAAGAAAATGTCAGGCTGGTGTAATAACTATAATGCACTTGACAACCAAGTAAGATAGGGATTTTAGTGGATTCATTTAAAAATGGTTTCGAAAGTCTCAGTTCCATAGAGCGTTTTGCTAGACTCAGCTGGGAATAGTGCACACAAGGTCTGATTTTAATTTGTGTAGAATTTTTCTGAATAACAAAGTCTAATTAAGACATCCATTAAAAGTCCTTAACGTTAATTCAGTGTGGAAAATCTTAGAGTTCCATTGGATTTTTTTTTAACTGATGTCTTAATTAGGCACTGTTAGGGGAAAAATTATGCAAATTAAAATCAGGCCTTTAGTGTTATGCATTTCTTTAATTATTCAGTGCTTGTTTTAGGTATATTTCTATTTCTTTATAGGTTAAGAGAGCATATTAGGTGATAATCTGCCTTATTGTTCTTGGTTTTTAAGTTTTCAAGGTAAAAAAAAATCTCACTTAGTATCTCACTCTCATCTCAGTTAAAAAACAAAAGGCAGAAACTCTCTCAGGGTTCTGTCTAATAGGAACAATGTACTAAGTAGGATAATCCTTTCCCAGTGCTGTTCAGGTTCAGCTTCAGGTAAGACACCTCTTCTTCATTTTCAGAGTATGAGAGTTTCATTCCAATAGCACCTTTAAAAGATAGAAGCTTTGTACCATAGCTTCACCTTTTTAAACTGCTGCAGAACTGAAGGCACACACGAACGTGTGCGCACGTGCACACACACACACACACACACACACACACACATTCCTTTGTCTCTGGAGAGTTGGCTTTGGCTGGGGAATTCTTTCTTTGTCCATCTTATTGCTTATAAAAGGGAGAAACATCTGTAAGATTCTGTTTCTTCAAGTCCAGTAGAAAAGTTGTAGAGTAGGCAGGCAGCTTAATATATTCAGCTACAGCATCTCCTTAAAAAGCTTGTCATTCTGTTTCCGTTCAAGGTAGGTACTATCAAACTGTTTTGGTGGGCCCCATTCAGAAACACTTTTACCAATGAATATTTCACGAGTGATAAAATGAAAGCTTTCTTCTTCCTCCAATAAGACACATAAAGGAGTCATTTGCAGTATTCAAATAACCGAAACTGATGAACTCCTTTAGAGCTAAACTATTTCCCTCCAAAAGGAAAATGGATCTTTTAAACTGTGTAAGTGTTCTTTTAGGAACATCATATCTACTTTGGTGATTAGCTCAAAACCAACTGAACTGTATTTCAGTAGAACTCTTGTTATTCACCTTTTTAGCTCTAGAAATGGGGGAGAAGTCGGAGGTTCACCCACAGTCAGCTGCTCCTTCCCAGCCTCCTGCGGCACTGCACTGATTTGTATTGTTAAGCAATTGAGATGCCTTTTCCTCCTCACAGTAATTTGGAGATTAATTGCATTACTGCTGCACCAATTACAGTGAGACAGTCATGCTATTCAATGGAATATTTTGAATAAAATTAGTTTAAAGATATAACTCTCCCATAGGTTTCCATAGAGGAAAACTCTGGTCAATTTTCCTGCCATAAAGTTAAATACTTAAAATTACCCATGATGAATAGTCGGGATATTCAAGAAGTGCATTTTCTTTACAAAATAAAGAAAATAGCCTCAATGGAGCCCTGAAACTTAGTTTATATCTCTTGAGTCACAACATTTGAGTATGAAAAGCTCTTTATCTTTTTCTTTAAAGAAGTGTCTGCTTGTAATTTATATATAGCTATTTGGATAAATATTCTTTCTCATTGCTTATTTGCTTTTAACAGTTGAAATGATAAAGATTAGATATTTGCAGAGAATAACCTCCCATGAAATTGTTCTGAGCATCATGCAGTGCAGCATAACTGTTATTAAAAGTAGCATTCTCTGTCTAGAGTCATTTATTGCAAGATTCCTTGAGTGTATCCTTAAGATTTTGTTTCCTACCACATAAACTATTTTTTCCACCAAGGAGTTAAAAGTAAGATAACGTCTTTACTGTCTTTGTCCAGAGGATAATTCTCAGTGACTTTTCACAAATGTCAACACTAAACAACATTTAGTGTTCTGTGTAACTCTCCATACACAGCAGTAGAAGATTCCCTCAAATAGCAAAGTATGTTTCATTATCCTCTGCTTTACTTCAGTACATTTTAATTTTCTTTAGGAAAAGTCAGAGCTAGTTTGGTATTTTATATCATTGTGTACATCTGAAATTTTAGATGCTTTATATCTCATGGCATCTGCTTGTACTAGTGAGGCATTAGAAGTTGAGCGGAGACCCTGGAATCTAAATTGCCTGTTGTATGTGTGAGTCTGCTTTTGAGAGAAAGCCAGAGTTTTGCATGAAGAATGGATCCTTGACTATCAGCGATGGAAAGAGATGTGTTTCCTATCCCAGATGTTCTTGTGTCTCTTGTGTTGGTCATGTTATCAATTAGGAGGAAAATTCTTTTTTGAAACCAACGGACTCTGATTAGAAGAGCAGAGAATACAGCATCATTGGGATCCAAAGATAGATAGTTTAGGAAAGAATTTCATTTTAGCATGAGTTAAAGATTGGAGCCTCCTATTAGTTTTTTGGCCTCCTAAATGAATGAATCAAGTCTACTTGGCTTCCAGGGATATTGTAAAGACAAAATCAACCTATGCAAAGTGTTTTCAAGAAGAAAATCTTTTTTTTTTTTTAAGAAAAAACTGCTTCTCCTTATTACTACTAACCATTGGCTGGCCTCCAACTCAGACTTGAGAGGGCATAGTGGTTACCGGCATGCAGGATCCACGTGACTGCATGTGTTGAACAAGATGACTGTCTTTTGGATTGTTTCACCCGGCATTCTGTTTTTGTTTTGTAGCCTAACAGCAGTGGTCAAGTAGTAGGGAAAGTGCCTGGCCATTTCACTCCTGTCTTGGCACCCTCTCCCCATCCCAGTGCAGTGCGACCTGTGACCCTGACCATGACAGATACTAAACCCATCACTACATCCACTGAAGGTGAGGCAGCTTCACCTACAGCAACCAGTAAGTATTTCTGTAGGAAATGAGAAATGTCCATCAAAGGTGCCACCATTGGATAACTGATCCAAGATGGAAAACACGGCAACTTTTCCAGGTACCTGACCCGATGGAGATTTCTCATTTAAGTGGAACAAGCAGGCATGTATGTGGCCTGGATGTCACATGCTCTCCCTTATCAAATTCCCATCCGTGCTTCGTATTTGAAAAGGGAGAGGCATATTTGTTTGAGAAAACAACTATAACAGAAATAAGCCATGCCTGCTCGTTCAAGGTATACATTGAAATCAGACTGAGTAACATAACACAGTGTGCAAGGTTTTTATATCACAAAAGACAGATTAGATAATTGTACTTATTGGAGCACTCCTATAGAAACCAAGTCCTTACACCAGACTGAATCAGTGCCTCTGTAAGATAATTGTATGTTTACCTTGCTGTAAGTTATGTAATTGTTAGGAATAGTCTCACAATGTTGAGTGCAGCAAGAACATTCAAAGCTTAGCATTAAGCACATGTAAGTTATCTGCACATCCTTATCTACAACTTTTTCTTTAAACCTTTTTATTATTTTTCCTATCATGATACATTAGATTGTATACATATTAATGTTTCACAACATCTTAAATGTCATAGATTTAGCTTCTACTCTTAAATAGCACATACCAGTTAGCCAAATGATTCCATTGCTTCTTCTTGTAGAATACTCAGAAGTATATAAGAAATGAATTTTCATTTGGCTTCACCCAAACTACTAGCTTCTTAGAAGTGAAACCAATATATAAACAAATAGGAGGTAGAATGGCACAGTTCCATTTGGGAAGAATTAGCGTACACTTCCACAATTATATACAAATATGTCTTAAAGTTAGGCTGTCCATGTTTTCTAGAGCCAAGAAATCCTAGAGCTCTGGAAATTCTTGTGTGGAATTACACAACCAGAAGTCCATCATATACTCTTTCCTGGCCATTGGAACGTTTTTTTTAGATGATGCCTTAAAAACTTAAAAAAAATGAGCAATACTTTAAGTGTACAATTAATCTCAGCTTTTATTTCTCAAAATTCATAGCCCCTATGAATTAATAAATCCAAATAGGTTTTTCAATGCCCATCAGTAATCATCGATGCTTAGTAATTCACTTTTTGGCATAAGGTTCTACACAAGTGAACACATCCCTAATGGGAAAATGGATGAAACCTTATCAGGGAAATTTAAAAATTCCTTTGTTTATAGCTTTGCTATGTACATCACAGTTATAAAAACTACCTACAAATTTCAAGTTGGAAGCAGGAAGTCCTGGGTTTGAACTCAGGACTTTGAGTTTGCCATACAGGCAGTCTACCACTTGAGCCATGCTATTACACCTGAAAAAAAAACTATATACAAATTTAAAAAATGAGTATCATGGCATCCTTGTGGAAGCAAGGTTAGCAATTTAAATACAAAAGCACATAGAAGAAAGAGCTTTTCAGAAGATAATTGAAAGCACCAATTATAAGTGAGCAAATGAAGTTCCAGAAATGTCTGAAATTCTTATTGTGGTACTGTTCTATGAGGTTCAATAAGAGGATCAGACCTAAGTCTCAATTAATGGCAGTACTTGCAGCCTGTTAATGAACTGCTTCAATACTCACAGGTTGTTCAAAAAGGGATCTGATTTGACTAATAAAATTGTACACTATGAAAAGATGTATCTTCATTATATTAAGATGACAACATCAGTCCATTCCAAACTCCTACATAAATCTACGGAGTCATTTTTTTTCCTTATCAACAAACTCCTAGTTCCAGCTGTCTAAGTACCACTGATAATGAGCCAATGGTCAATGATTGACCTGATAAGTCAGTAATGTTAAAGAAAGCACAGAAGTCATGGAAACCTCCTTTTCCTAATTGGAAAACAGAAAAAAGAAAAAAAAAACAGTGCAGATTTATTGCTCACTTTGTAAGAATGAGTCTCTTTTGTGGAGGTCCAGCCCTGTGTTGAATTCCAGAAGCTGGACATGGAGTAGGACCACTGGTTGCTGATGGCTGTCTTTATGTGGACCTTTTAGCTAGGAGTAAAAGATGAGCTGTGAAGATGAGGTTGACCTTAAAAGCCTCTAGGATCAAATTCTGTAATTCTTTAATTGCAGAATCATATATTGATTTAAAAAAACTATTCTACTTAAAATTAATGTCTGAATTCCTCATTAATCTGACACTTTTAAACCAAGCAAATAGCTTTCTTTGGACTTACAAGTGTAACATACTGTGGAAATTTCATTCTCTGCTATTCTGACATGAAACAGTGCTGTTAGTGGTAGGAAGAAACACTTATTTTCTTGTAAAGAAGCAAAAGATTTTAGGGATAGAAAGAACTTTCCAGTGGAAAATTCACCAGTCTGTATTAAAAACACTTGGTGCAAAAAGCACTTGCAAACAAGACCACAGGACTGTGAGGAGTGTCACCCTCGGTGTTTGCTTACTATCAGGTGACCAAATATTTAGAAGGCGCAATCAACGCCCTTCCTGGCCAATCACAAGATACGTTTTTTTTTTTACATTTATGGAAATTATTTTCAAAAGCATTTCTATCAAACTTAGTGACATTTTCACATTCAATAAAGTACTGACTTGATTCACTTTAAATGACACCTTCTTCACAATGCAAAACAATGGAATCTTTAAGAATAGTAATACTGGATTTTCCTTTTTAGTGAAACTTTTCAGTAAGATGTTTCATCTGTACTCGTACTCATCAAACACAACTGCTTAAAACTTCTCATTAAAAGTTGACACTTTACCTGACAATCTTTCAGTCTAAGTTTACATTTAGCATTACCGCCCATCATTGATTATTCCATTCATTATTAGGCCACTAATATCTAGTCAACAACTATATCTCAGAAAGTGCCCCTTCTGCGTAGTCAGTCCTTGATAACCCTGCAGGACTACTTGGAGCACATAAGTGAGAGATACAGACACCAAAGGACAGGATGTGGTTTACTCAGATATTTTAGTGGAGATAAACTAGATGAGTTGAATAGAGTTACCATTTCTTTTCTATCACTTGATATTCACTCGGACAAAAGAGAAATGGAGACCCTGTCTTTTTGGTTGCAAATCCCTCTTCTCTGGGTTTCTTATACATGGACAGGGTGTTCATTCTGATAGTTCACAATTTTTATCTTTGTTTTTGTTCTTCCTTAATCAGCCTACACAGCCTCAGGCACATCTCAAGCCAATCGATATGTGGGACTAAGTCCAAGAGACCCATCCTTCCTACATCAGCAACAGGTGGGCACGTTTCACACAGGTGTACTGGGGTAGCCACGCTTTGCTTCGGCGCTTTTCTCCATGTTGCCTCTCAGATCTGGACTCAGGATGGGGCTCACGGGGCTTCTGAGATCAAAATTGATCACTTTGTTTTCCAAATTTTTCCCCCTCATTTATCCTTTGTTTCTCATCTCTCTGAACAGAATTTCTCAAATTGACTTACAACTTCTTCCATCTCCGTAGTATATATTGACAGTATCCGTGAACACTGTTGTTTCAACCCGAGTATTTCACAGTCTTCCTGACTATTGAGAACTTAACTAGCCTCTAGCTCTCAAAGACAAACACTAAAACCAATTTTAAAGCCAACTAGAGTCGGAACAGTACATAAATTGTGTTTTTGAAGCAATATCATATTTTCCAGATGTTTTACTCCTCACTTTTGTGCTTTAGTCCAGGAAGATGAGTTATGAAGCTAAAATCTCAGGCGCCACATCATTCCTGTTTTAATAGGTTTAAATTGGTTTAGTGATTTCAGATGTGATAAAACACTTTTTTTGGTCCTGCTTTCTTACATCATTTATGTTTCAAGTAGCATTTTAAATTTCACATCTCATTAATGTTGTAAATTTAATGCAAATGAAGTGTTTACCCAAACTGTGAAAATATACAGCCAGGATTAATGGTGGCTTATAAACAAATTAGCCACAGTCAAAGCATTCAAAATACCAATAGAGAAATCCCGTGATTCTAGTTACAGGGTAACTGAAATAATTCTAAACCTTTCAGAATTTAGATATATTTTATGATGCATATGTTTACTGCTGTCAAGTTTTGCTAGGAGAGCAGTTTGAAATTAACAGTATGCAAAGTATTTCATAGGGAAACGTAGGCCATAATGGATAATTAAGAGCTGATATTAACCAAGTTGCTCTTCATGTGTAAGTTTTCTGTGTATATAGATGAGATTTTATTAGCGTAGCAAGTTTGTTCTAGACCCGCCCTCTTCTGTTATGCTTGTTGTGGTCTATCTCTTCATGTGGAATTCTTGAATCCTTTCCATCCACAGGCCAAGGTGGCAGACTGCGTATATTAAAGGTCACCACATGCAGAGTTCAGGGAAAACCACAATGATATAGCTTATTCAGGATACTTGATGTTTTGCCATGTTTAGAAAAAGAAAAAAAAACAAGACAGATTGAGCATTAACTGAAAACATCTGTATACAGTTATAAAAACTAAAAAGTAATTAGGTGGTTTTGCCAGCCATTGGCCTTTCAACATAATTCTCTGGAATATTGCTTTTTACACCTCTAAAATTACTTAATATGAAATGCATTATAATTACTATAATATGGCCCTCTTTGACAAATGTATGTATTTATTGTGCTTTTCAAACATATGCAGCATTTATAGGTTCAGAAATTTATAAATTATTATCCTTTTTTGAGAAATATTTTTGTCATGAGATTTGCATTATTTTTTATGACACATTTCTAATTTCCAGTTAATTTTTAATTCACATAACGTGTCCATTATTTAAGGCTTTAGCCCTATATTACAATAGTCCAATTGCCTGTATATAGACTCAATCTTCCTCCTTCCCTGTCCTAAGCCACAGCAGCATTTTTTTAACCACTGTGACTAATGTTGGAGCTTCATATAATTAAAATCACAAAAGTTCATTAATATGAAAGTTACTTCTTTCATAAACCTAAAGATAAATTTAGAAAACTTAGAAATTTAGGAAATTTAGAAAACTTTAGGAAACAGTAATGTGAAAATATGAATTTACTATAGATAAGAGATCTGGGCACATGTGATTACTAAACTACAAATTTTAAATCAAGAATTGCCACTTGTTATTTAAGTGGACAATGTTAAGTGAATATATTAAAATATGAATGCATATACTTAGCATATGAATATAGTTTTTTCAGTTAAATGCAGTTGGTATTTATGGAATACATGATGCATATTGAGCTTGGAAGAGAAGTCTATGTATGCTTTACAATTAAAATTTTTAAATACTATACAGGTAGCTCATTTGTCCTCTATCCTTTGTATAATGAATGAGGCTAGTGCCAATTTTTAATCTGAAGAATCCCAGTGCTCCAGATTTATAATGAACTGCAAATTCTAAGATAATGCAGGACAATATGAATGCATATCTTTTTGTGTGTGTATGGGTGTGTGTATGTATTTTATATATATATATATATATATATATATATATATATATATATACATGAACTAAGTTTCTAGTTAAAAGCTTATTTTACCTTTTACATTTTAAGACTAGTAGAGATGAAGTTTTATGCTTCCTATCTAGATATGGAAAGACAGAGTAGTTGGAATGACTCAGTAGAGTAAGGGTTATTCTTTCCTACAGCACAAATGAGATTGATTTACTGTGCCCTTTCATTACTTTACAAAGATTTAAAAGAGAACACTCTTCTAACGGCAGGTTCTAAATGCATTTGGTTTAAAGCATTCAATGATGAATGAAAAGGAAAATCAAGGGGTACATGAAATAAAGGTAATCAATCATTTTATATTAGCTAGGATAAATTCAGAATTAGAAAGGCAATGGTTTTCTTTGAGAGCGTTCTTTTAAACATTCCCCATAACCTTTAATATACATGACCCCTGAAGAATAAATATCGTTACCAGGTACATTCTCCAGTTCATGGCAGTTGCTTTATAAAGATTTATTCGTTTAGGTTATGAAAAGTATTGATGTGGATTGTTGAGTGCTATTTTTTTTTACAAAAGAACATTAATGTAGCCTACATAAATTGGAGTTTAACAATACATTTTAAATTATTGACTAATCTTTTCACAAAATGATAAGACAGTAAAGTTTCAGTATAGCCATTTTTAGCATACAAGTATACTGTATTCCTAAACTGAGATGTTACCCTACCCTCTATTTATAAGAGTAATATGAATGATAATCTGAAAAAATGAATAACATCTGAGTAGTATATGTACATGCTTTCACACTTGATGCATGTAGTTGTTACTAGTAATTATACATTCATATGTTTTTTTTTACAATTGTTATTAATGTTCAATGCTGGCTTTTAACTGTCTTGAATACTAGCTTAGTCTGACATTGGAATTTCACTTCTCATTGCAACTATGAAACCTCATTTGAATCTAAAAAACAAAATCACGGTTATGAAGAATGTTTTTTAAAGATTCATGTAACCCAGCTGATAACTTACCATTAAAAGTAATCCTTTCTAATTAGTCAAAGTAGCCAGCTCATGCCAGATAATCAGGGCTTGCCTTTAGAGTTTCTCTTTATCTTTTTACACCATCCTGAATGATTTTCAAGATTTGGAACATGTCAGTCCTTTGGATTATTGCTTAATTGCATTTACTGTTGACATGGGGAAAATATCTTCAAATCAGAACTTCAATTAGAATTTTAGTCTTTCTTAAAATTTTCTATTTGAAGATGGCTGGTAGCGTGAAGAACTCTTGGGTCCTGCTTTGGCCAACTTAATTCTCTTAGACTCTACTAGGAAAGGTCTTATTGTGATTTGGAATATTTTTAGAAGCATGGAAGATATCTTAATGTTCATAGAAGTTCAGTAAAATACAGTCTCTTGACCTACTTTTGACTTTATAAACTAAGTGCATGTTTCTTTCTATAGAGAGTGAAGAAACTACATTTACCAAATTTTATCTCTTTGAGAAAATGAAACTAGCAAAATGTTTCCTGTTGCTTATAAATTATAAATTCATCTAGACTAACAATTTTAACATTAATGGGTAATATGAGGCAACTTACTTAAATTTACACCTCATAATAAATTTGCTACGGCCTCAGGCCTTCTTTATTTGCTATCTTATAAATTTTAGCAGTTTAAAGGAGGCATAGTTAATTTGACTATCACCATTGCAATTGAGTATAAAGTCATATTAAAGGTTAAATCTTTGCTATCACACATCAATGCAACATATTTTTATTGCAAATTATAAATAGGAGTTTGCAGCAAAGAGGTTCTTGTTGAGAAATAAAAGATCCGCATTCAACATAGCCATGGAGGCACGTGTTAACTTTTGATAGAAATTCAAGATTTTAGGCAGAGTAAGTGTGAACTCGCTTTTGTCCCCCACCCCCACTCCAGTGAAACAAAAGAAATAAGGTCTAGTTTGTAAATAATAAGACTTCTTTTTACAAGTTCCAAAATGGTGATTTCTAGACTATATATACATGTTACCTGTGACTACAGCTAGTGACTAGAGCTAATGAATGAGTAGCCTGACAGCTTCGGGTCCTTTGAATCACAATTGCATGGATTTCACTGGTGCCCTGCTTCAGCATGTTACACTGCCTGCATGACTGTGTAATGCTATTATTTCAAGTTCAGTTACTGAGCTTAGTTATATCAAAGTATTTTCACACTTGATAGAATTTGAAACTAGAGTTTCAACATCAAAATTGAAAGTTTCTGTTACACAAAATAACCTTTTAAAAATTGCCTCTCTATTTCTTTTTTTTTTTTTTTAACTGAGATATTAGTTGAGATCCCTTTATAATATTTCTGGAAATGACAAAGTCAAAGTTTGACACATTGAAACTCCTGGAAAAATTAGGCATTTATTAATGAGGCAAGCAATGGGAAGCATACAAGTGGACTGTCAGCAAACTATTCCATCAAGTCAGGAAGCAGGCTATCAACACGAGGGCCATTCTTATTGTGTCTTTTATCATAATTGACAGCTTGATGTAAAACCCTATCACATAACTTCTAGGTAGGTATGTAAATGGTAAGAGGTCAGTTTTCACATATGCTAGCTAGAAAGGAAGCACATTTAAAGGAAGTTTCAATCAAAATAGTGGCTATGCAAATATCTAGCTTGTTGACTTGCTCTTAAATTAAAAAGATATTTTATCATTCATTCATTCATTTGTTCACTTACCTTTCTGATTTTGGAAGGGTAAAATACAGATAAATTTTTCTAGTTAATATAAAATAAAATTATATGTAATGTAACACTAAATT